ACCGGTGTATAACGGGGGTTCTAAAAGTCCGAGAAAAGTTGCTATTTCTCGTGGAATACTGCCAATTTTATTCTGACCCATAGGTTGTCGGATACACTTTCCGTTGCGATATTGTAGAAAAAATCGTTCAATTGGGGTGTTAGAAGGACGTAAAGCTTGATATTTCTGAACAATGTTTACATATTCCTTGCGAATAACGAAGTTGCGGTCTTTTTTTGTCTTGGTATTTAGTACATTAATTAATAGCAATTCATCAGAATTATGAGAATATTTTGATACGTTATTGACATTAAGTAGTGTAAGTTCATTTGTTCGACATGCTCCGGTTATACCAATAATAAGAACAACCTGTAACAAAAGAAGTATTTATAATCGTAAATAAATTAATCAAATTAAAAATATTGTAAGTACTATGTACAATTTTATCAACAACAAAAAATTACACGTATTGACTTACTTTTGCCGCTAAATATACGGAATCAGGTGCTTCATTAATAAACTTTGCAATTTCAGATGCTGTGAAAACCTTCGATTTTTTTGGTTTATAACCAGATGAGGCTCTTTTTAAAAATGCCACTAATTTATGATAGGTGTCGATATGAACGTCTTTCTTCATCTTAATTGTTAATTTTAGCATTGAATACGTACTCCATAGCGTGCTTGCTTTCTTGGTCTCAGATAATTCTATAAAATATGCCAGCAAAACGTTTTCGGAGAAAGTTTTTGCTCCTTTAGCTAGTCGCCACATGTTAAATATATCGTACTGTTTCAAATACTTCTCTCGTGATTGCTGAGGGAGAAGGCTCATTTGCGCATTATTAACTGTTTCAGTTAACTCAGTTGGCGTTAGATAAACTTCATCGTCGCTAATGTCACTCATTTTAGTTGATTTTTTTGTACAGTTTTTAGGTTATGTTAATTATATTAAGCAATAAAACGTGAAAAACTAGAATGGCGCGAAGCACGCAAATAAAACAAAGAAACCAAGAAGGTTCCAAATTTAAATTTTTTCACAATTTAAAAAGTTCTAATCATAAATTTGGCACCATAGAGGTTACATTAAATAGGTTTAATGACGTTTTGAATTTACAATTATATTGAGTACTCATTATATGTGATGTTCTAAATTCAAATCTACTTTGCCGCTCAAGCGAATAAAATAGAATTTTCCAGCCAGATTTCGAAGCGCAAAATTACACTTTCCGAGGTGGTGGGATGAAAAAATAATGAAGCTACCTAAATCTCTTAGCTTTCTTTGGTTAACGAGAGTTTAAAAATTCTCTCTAACCTGTGGCTCATACACAATCATCATACAGTTTCTGTCACAGAGTACCTTCCTTAATATAACCGGAAATGCATAGATGATACCTGATTTTAAAAGTTACTCTTGTACAAACGTTAAAAACAGGCAACTATCTGTTAATCTACATGCTCTATGAATGAATCTATTACATAATTTCGATACTTGGCTTGATTTCCCTAGTTTAATATACAACTTATTTGTTTTTTATTATTTTAATACCTATGTACCTATTTGCAAACATAACCTCAAAACCGTTCAGTGTATATGGTTTATAGAAGTTCTCAGGGGTGTCCGTCAATAATGTTCGTTTCTACAGTAATTTATATATAATTTCGAATCTAGGAAACAATTTTTCATGATTATTGGTCTTTAGGCCAAACATGATGGAAGCTGAGCAATCTCCTTTATTGTTAATAAGTATTGAACATGAAATCAAAATTGAAGTCAGTGGCATTGTTAAAGATTTAGCTAATGCAAAAGCACGAAAAATATTTTTTTGTAAAAACATTTATTTGTGTGTACGAGCGTCCTGTAAGATACTTTATTTTTAAATTAAAAGAACTACAAAGTTGTGATTTTTTATTGTTGTAACTTGCACTCGAATTTTTTATGAAAATATAACTGTAAGTATTCCATTTTGACCCCGCTCCTACTAGGGGGCGCCAGGGTACTGGTGGCACACTGGCGCCACAGGGGCGAGAGCCACCTCTGTCCGGACGTCGAGTGATTGCAATTCGGCACGAACCTCATGCTGCCTGATTTTGATATCAGGCATCGTTGTGCCACAATGAGGTAATAATGGTGGCAGTGCATTGCAATCATCGATTCGGGAGTTAGCCGCAAAGAGTTTGCCAGTAAATCGGCTTTCTCCTGCGGCTTATGAGCTAGTGTTCCGTCTGGGCATCTCAGAGGTGGCAGCGAGGGTTGGCAGAAGTTAACGCCAATAGCTACGGGAGCCCGTAGGATGCGTTATAAGTTCGTGACCAACACGTGCAACGCACTGGGCATCCGCTCTGATGTATGCCTTCTTACAGGCCTTGGAAGCAATATTGTAGGTTGTAGGCTGCTTTTAGTGAATCGACCCCGGGATCCTTAAGAGCGCGGCCTCTAATCCAAGCACGATATGCCGCTTGCTTACGCGAAGCAGCTTCAGCACAGTCATCACAGCTCTCCAATCGTACCCATCCGCAGCAATCACCTTCGCATTTTGTTCAGCGCTAGATTTCCGTGCCGCGACCTGTATATACTCGTACGTGGGACTCTCAGAAAGTTTTGAGAAACTAAAAAACTAACTTCTATGAAAAAAAAATATTTTTATTAAATCTTTTCAAAGAACTCTCCACCAGCCTCTATACAAAGTTTCATGCGTCTGAACCATTTTTTCCAGTCCTCTGCAGACATCTCTTCCACGGCCATCTCAAACGCTGCTAGCGCTTCTTCCGGCGATGAAAACTGTATCCCTTTGCGCAGATTTTTTATTTTAGAGAATAATAAGAAGCCACACGGAGCCAAATCAGAAATGTAAGGTCCCAAGACTCTGACTGGTGTGGAGTCCAGGAAGTCCTTCGTTTTGATCACAGAGTGTGTGGGCGCGTTGTCAAGGTGAAGAAGGACCCCGCGGAGCCCGGTGTTAGTTCGACATCGAAAATTGTTAGCATAATTTTTAGCTTAAATGATTAAGTCTTAGCATAATTTTGGCAAAATTTGAACATTTTTGTCTTTTTTACTTGTAAATATTTTATTTCAACAAATAAAACCAAGTAACTAGCTTCTAAATTATTGTACGTTATTTTATGCCTTTACAATTCTTAATACATAACTCTCTTTTGTTTCTGTAGTCGGGTATTACACCCGTTGATTACACCGTTTAAATTGGTGGCTTTCGGGATGTAAACGGTGCGTTTCAGTTTAAAACTGTTTTTTTACAACTATAGTCCCGAGTCCGACTTTAACAGTCGGGACCAACCGTCGGTTAAAGTAGCTTTGTTCCTTACTTAACAGAATTATAGTCGTATACTGGACTTGATCTTTTCTTTTCAGTTTTTATTTGAAGTAATATTTAAGCAATCGGGTTGTTTAATTCTTTTAATTTACCTTTTTTATTACACTCTTTAGTTTAGGATTATAAGACGGTATATAACTACCGCTGTCTTGTCACTTCAATAAGGGAGTAATATCGTGGGAATTATTATGAGAGAAAAGTTCAGAGAACCTTGCGGTGGTCTGAACGATTGATTTATTAAGACAATATGTATAAGGTAGAGAGACCTTACCATCAGGGTCAAGGCTACAGATGGGCCTCAATTTTCGCAAAAATGTGTGAAGTTAAATCAAGTCGTTACCTATATAGCTAATGCACGTAAATTTTAAAGTTAACTAGTACTTACTTATTCAAAAAGTCATATTTTGGTTATGTTCGTTTTAGTAGTTTTGGAGTAAATATAAAATTAATTTACTTTTATTCGTCGACTATCTAAAATTGGCAGTGGCTGCATGGGGCGGCTTTAAGTTTGTGATATACCTACACAAATGCAGTGTCATATCCTAGTCTCATAATTTGTTTTACCTACATTACTTACAGAAACCAAAGATGTAGATGCCAGAGGTTGACTTCAAATGTTGTTAATCACCTTTATATACAATACCAATCAATGACGTTAATGTCGCAGGTGGACGAAAGCAATAATTCCCGTCTGTTGTTTTGGACACTGGTGGCAACTGCCTCAGATCGCTAAATTAAATAATCATAAGATCACCAAAGCAAAGTTTAATATTTGAGGTACAGAATATAATTTCCATAGGTACAGCACCAATAGTAATCTCATTTATTTATCGCCCGAATTACATTTTTGTCGTTCTCTTTAAAGCGTTTACCAGTTACAGGTCGCACTTTCTAATCTACCTCTCCCATTTTTAGGGTTCCGTAATCATGACAAAGAACCCTAATAGTTTCGTCATGTCCGTCTTGTCTGTCCGTCCCCGGTTTTGCTTGGAGATAGTTACCTCTAGGGAGCTGTAATTTTGTGGAGATACGTAAAACAATCACGCCGACAAAATGGCGGAACAAAATTATATATATTTTTTTTTATAGTAGCTCGCCTACATGGAACCTGGGGATGATTTTTTTCATCATCTACACTATCGTGTGGGGATATCGTTGAATAGGTCATTTTAAATTACTTAGGGGTTTCTAAGATTATTTTTAATTTAGGGATTCGTTTGCGAAATATTGAATTTTAAAGTACTAATTTTTGTTAGAATAGGGCGCCCCCCTCTAAAAGCTAATAATAAAAGCAAATATTGCCTTGGAAAACCTGAAAAATTCATGATAATAGTGCTTTTCATTAACTTTTAAGGAACATTTTATGGTTAAGATAGATTGGTTAGTTTAAGAGTAATAGTCGTTCAACTTTGGTTATTCGTATTTTTTGTAGATTATTTAACTAAGTCTTGAAAACTGGAGTTGAGGTCTCGAGTCTCGAAAATACGACTAAATCGTCGAGAATCTCGGAAATTTCGAGATCGAGACTCTTGGGATGAAAGCCCTACTCGCCACTAATAAGGGGTAGTGTAGTGCATCGGTATCATCAATGCCAGTTGCCACAGACAGAAAACATGGTGACTAACCAATTCAATATTCAAGCGGGAATCACGTACTTACGTACTAGGTATATTTTACACTATCCAAGGTTACGAGTCATTTGTGGAAGCGCGGTGTGGTTTGTCCGGCAACATCAACGCGCACACTACGCCGTCCGTCCCTATCCAATCCATTGCCATTGGACTGGCTTTGTAAATCATACAGTCAGTCGTATAGAGGCGTTCAAGTGATAAGTTTGTGTCAGTGCATTACCTAACATATTTTTAACAGTGTCGTAATAAAAGGCCGGAAACATTATGCTAAGTACGTACTAAAATGTTGGAGTGATGAGCTAAACCCTACCTATTTACTTTAATAGTTTCTCAGCCTCTCAGACCGCGGGCAATTTAAAAAGAGTGAGAGTGCTTTGATTAAGTAAAGCAAATACTAAATTGTATTTACTCAAAAAAAATGGTACCTACATCAATATCAACACTTTTTCGTAATAATTTTGAAACCAATGAGTGTGCTCATTCTCAGTGTCCTCCTTACCTACAAACTGCAAGATTATCCTCAAAACCGAGTTGTGCGTTTTATTTATTCTTTTAAATTTAACAACGTTGGTTACTATTGTCACTGAAACTCTGAAAGCACACCTTAGAACCTTACCTTACCTTCTAGTACAAGTAGTTAAATGTCCTAAATATTTGCGAGCAAAGTTTGTAAAATAAGTTTGCTTTTACCTGTGTATGATAGTTTATATGTAAGAACAGCGCATCACCAGAAAAGATTAGGTACTAACTTAAGCAGAAGTACCTAGTTACTTAAATAAAATTAATCTAGGAATAATTTATTTTATTGTGTAAAATAAGTAGAGCTGAAGGGCCTGCTGTAGGATGTCTATATTGTTTCAGTACTTTTGATATCCTACTTAGATAACTTATTTGAAATCAAAGTAGCTTTCTTAACCTATTATTATTATAAACTAGCGGCCACACGTAACTGTGTCCGCGTTAACTTTAATTTTTTTAGAAAATCCCTCAGGAACCTGACACTTTTCTAGGATAAAAAGAATCTTATGTCTCAATCCAGGTCATAAACAATATGTGCACTTAATCCTATAAGCAGTTTTATCGGGATTGAGTGACAAAAAGATATACATACAGATATACGTATTTATAAAGCTGGTACCTATGTTTTTTACTCAATCACGTTAAAATAATTGAATAAAATTTGCTACGCATAATTATAGTTTATGACCTGGATTGAAACCTAGGAAGGATACTTGTCATCCCGGAAAATGGCAGGTTTATGTGTACGCTTAGTGTGTACGTTAACTTTTCTTTTTCATACGTAAAAGTCGTGATTTATGGCTACATAGGTATATCTCCCAAATAACACGTTAACTCTATGAGCGAAAATTTATTGCCGTAAATATTTAAGTCAGTTTTTTTTCAGGAATGATGTAGGTATTGTATAATGCTAACCAACTCTGTTAAGGCACAAAAACTAGATTCTATAAAACATTTAGGTGTTTTACGTGTGGTTTACCTACAAAAAGTACATACCTAATTAAATTGTCTACTGCAGGCTTCGATCAACAATATTAAGATCGAAGACTTTAGGCAATATAGTATAATAATTGCCTACTTTTGTTAGCTAATATTTAAACTGTATTATTTTATGTTTCAGATATGAAATTTGTTTTTTATTTAACGACATTATTCTGTGTATCATCGATACAATTAGCAGCTGAAGAGGTCACGGAAAACAAGTAAGATATCTTGTAATTGTAGATATTTCAGACCCTTATCTTACTTAATTTTACCGCTTTACTAGCCATAATATTTATGTACCTATACAAAAAAGATAAGCCCATTTTTATCGATAAAATTGGTCTCTTTACTTGTTAAATTTGAAGTTATAAATAATTAATATGCATATTAAATTATAAGAACTGATTAGCGTGTTCAGTAGTTAGGTATGCTATTGTGGAAATTATGCAAAATGTAACTTTACTACATACCAACTTACTTATTTTTTTTTGTGGGTTCTGGTGGTTACTCTCCAGAGAATTACCAAAGAGCATTTATTGGAGCCAGATTAGTTAGGTAGATGGTTTAGCATTTTACCATGTGAATGTTTGCAGGCGTGGTCCGAAGGGGGGGGGGGGGGGGAGGAGGAGGAGGAAATTGAAAAATCTCAAAAAATTGCCAAATAATAAAAGGAAATTTCTGGCTATCCTCTAACAGCCATTTAGTGGTGTATTTTTAACTACGTAACTACGATGGCCAAAATAACTTGGAAATGACATCTAGTACTACTATGTATTATATCATCGAAGTTTGTAATGATGATTTATACCCAAATATAAAGACATTTCTCAAAATCTGGCAACTCTTCCCACAAGTGGTACCTATTTTTTTTTATTAGTGTAGTGAGTGACCCCCTCCAAAATTTCAGGCTGCGACCGCGCCTGAATGTTTTGTTAACTACTTAGATTAATAAGTATCTGCTATCCTAACTTCCTGCGAAAGTGAGTTTGTTTGTTACGCTTTCACGCCTAAATCGCTGATGTAGCACAAAAGATGGTTATAGACTAGTTTTTGTCACGAGAAACGAAGTGATTTGTAGATGGCGCTGTGAAATATTTTACAACGCGGTATGGTTTTGTTTTATCAGACATTACAATTTTTTGCATATAGGTGGCACTAAGTGTGTTTTAAATGAAACTTTTTTCGGACGGGGTTTAATTGGAAAAGTGCTATGGAAAAGATATAACGGAAATGAGTCAAGAGCGTCATTCGATTTCAACAAAGGAACCTATATTCCTAAAATTATCATAGATTACATCAAGTTGAAAAACACAACAAAAGAAAGACTGCTTCTTGACTTCAGGCTGTGTTTTATTCAACATATAATATCAGTTTTGTTGTAATGCTTTTTGTTCTAATCTATAAACTATTAAAAAATGAAATAAAGAATGAAAATCGACGCTACCTTTCAGAATTGGAAAATCAAGATAATAATGAGCTTTAACCTTAACGCATTACTCAGATACACCGTTTCGATACGGATACCAAAGTTAATCTGATGTTTAGAAACCCTGCACGAGCGCTAAACTAGCAGGAACAAGCACGCTAAGCTAACTCGACAATCCTTAAACATACAACAATTTTATCGTATCTAAGATGGCTTGTGTTAACAGTAGATGCTGGTCGTATAACCCAATATTGACGAAATCCACACAAAAGCCTTCTCTCCAAGCTTCCGGCATACGGTCTGCCAGCCCAGTTCTGTTCTTGGGTAGCTGACTTCCTGCATGAGCGTAGAATTCGTGTCCTTACGGATGGTAGCAGTTCGCGGTTCATGTCAGTGAATGCCGGCGTTCCCCAGGGCTCCGTCCTATCCCCCACTCTCTTTCTGCTGCATATCAATGACTTGTTTCCTCTTGGGAATATTCATTGCTATGCAGACGATAGTACAGTGCATGCGGGGTATCTCGGACAAGCAGCGGCTGGGCAGGCAGTAACCAGGGAGAAACGGGAAAATCTTGTCATTGAACTCAATCAGGCTTTGGACCACATTTCCGAATGGGGTACCAGGAACTTGGTTGGGTTCAATGCCAAGAAAACGCAGGCTTGCGCTTTCACGGCAAAAACATCGCCATTCCTTCCCCTTCCATCTCTTCAGGGCACAACACTACCGCTGCAGAGCAACATTTCCATGCTCGGTATGGAAGTTCGCTCAGACCTGAATCCAAAGGACTACATCGAAACCGTGATCAAAACAGCTTCACGCAAACTCGGAGTCCTGAACAAGGTGCGGCGTTTTTTCACGCCCGATCAACTGTGCTTGTTGTACAAAACGCAAGTGCGGTCCTGCGTGGAATATTGCTCGCACCTCTGGGATGGCTCCGCCAAGTACTTGCTCGATGCTTTGGATAGGTTACAGCGGCGCGCGATCCGCATCATAGGCGATGAGGAGGTGACTAAACACCTTGAGCCTCTTCAATTACGCCGTGACGTGGCGTCACTAAGCGCGTTCTATCGTTTGTACCACGGCGAGTGTTCTGAGGAGTTATTCTCTCTTATCCCACCTTCCCCTTTCCTTCAGAGGACCACGCGCGCTGGCCTACGTTGTCACCGTCTTACTGTGGCCACAATTCCAACGCGTACAAAGAAATTTGGTGACTCATTTCTTTGTCGCACTATCCGTAAATGGAATGCTCTGCCCGCTCACGTGTTCCCTCCCTCTTACAACCTGGGATCCTTTAAAAGAGGCGTGAAGAAGCAACATGCAGGCCGGCAGGGTGAGGATGGCTGGTGTGGCAGGTAGAACTGCTGTATCAGCTATCTTCGCGTCTGGACTTCACCTTCACTTAACATCAGGTGGGGTGGAGTCATTTGTCGGACCTAACTATAAAAAAAAAAAAAAAAAACCGTGGCTGAGTGGTTTGTACGCCGGGTTTCATGGTGTCACCGACTCGAGAGGTCCCGGGCACGAATGCCGGTGGGGGCAGATGTTTGTGTGATGAACACGAGCATTTGTACTCCAGTCATGGATGTTAAATATCTATTTTTATATAAATATACTTATTTATGAATATGTACAGTATATGTATTCTATCCGTTACCCTAGTATCCCATAACACAAGCCTCATAGTGCTTACTTTGGGGCTAGGCTAATTGGTGTGTGTTGGAAATATTTATTATTTAATATACCCAAAAGGCACTAATGCCATGCCAACAGACAAAAGATGTTTGAGCTTATGTTAGCATCTGCTAATTGAATACTGAAGGCATAAGCCGCGCAAAATGTAATGATGACCGTAAAGCGCGACTCGAAGGAACTCCACGAAGCCGCAAGTGTACTGTGGCTTTTGACTGGCTACACGACTACGATATACAGTTATAGCCAAAGTTACCTACGTTAAATTAAACGCCCTACTATCCAATAAATCTGGACGCACAACAAAATTAATTTTATTATCTGTATGTGCTAGAGCAATTCTTGCATAAAGAAACAAAATGACAAAATCAACACTGACATACTGAAAAAGGTGCTAGCATAGCAATAATATGCACTCCGTAATGAGACGGACTTGCAACATAGTACATAACACAAATCTTAAATAATGCATTATTACGAGTTTATGATTCTTATATCCGCTAAGGACAAGAAAAAAATATATATAGGGATCTCCAGTCCGCTATGAGGCAGAACAATACAGAACCTATAATTATGCATGGTTATTGTTTGCAAGTATTTCTCTTGTCGACGGATTCAATTAATCGACAATCAGAATTAGTTCCAAAATCAATATTAACGCGAGCGAAGCCGTGGGCAAAAGCTAGTGCTTAATATACCTACTTAAATTATAAATTATAATCTTTAACTAGTTATTGGGTTCTAAACAAAAACTTAATAATATTAGGGAGTTTAAAATGTCAAAGGACATCGACGAAATCGGCCCTAGCATGCCCAAAAGAATGTCCTTCACTATTATTTTTCTATTATTTTTTTAACTTATTAGCAATTAATCATAGTAAACGGACAATCTGTTTAAAAATTAAAAGTTCTGTTACTAGATGCTACAGTCTGTTCATCCAACTTGGCACTCCTTTTTATTGAAAATACAGCATTAAAAATCAACTGATAACTGGATTCAATAGGTTTCAGTCTATAATAACGATTTATTTTAATAGTTTATTGGCTTCGTTAATATTTTATTATTAAATGGGTGATTCTGTTAAAAAGTTGTGCCAAGATTGTTTACCTTAGTAATGCAATATAGGCGACCATAGGTATTTATCAAGATAAAAATAGAACTAGGTACCTTAGTTAATAATACTTATTACTAGTATTTCTATTATATTTATGAAAAGATTATTTCTGAAATTATCTAAAGATAGTTTATACTCCCATCCCATGTAATATCTGTTTATTTTTATGAAAATCATAATGATAACCAGGTACATACCTAATTACCGATAGTAAACTGTAGGAACAGGTAAATGGAAAGACTGAACATTTGAAAAGAAATCTATCATTACTTACTACAGGTATCATAGGTGCCAACTGACAACACTCATAAATCAATATGAATATAAGCATTTATTATTTTTATTATTAATTGCATTTTATGTTCATTTAATGCGTATTATTTAAGTGCTTACATAGAGGTAAACACTAAATCTATTCAGAATATATAAAGTGTACATCTTTTATGATTAAGTATAATAATTATAACCTCAAAATCTAATACATTCTGTAGTAGGCCACGGTTCCTCAAGTTGTCCGTATCTCAACAAATGCTTATTTAGAGTTTATGAATGATTCCGAACACAACTAGCATTTTCTCATTGCTGGGCGTTCTAGGGCATTCAATGTATGGGGAACGAGCAATGTCCTTTACATTCAGTTTCTATTTACACACATATCCAAATATATGCGTATTTATTTATCAATATCTTATATAAAAAAAATCTCGTGTCACAATGTTAGTTACCATACTCCTCCGAAACGGCCTGACCTATTTTTATGAAATTTTATATGCATATTGTGTGTGTCTGAGAAACGGCTACTATCTATTTTCCATATCCATAAGTAATAATGGTTGTCCACCTGTAACGTAGTGTCCTGAAACCTACAATGCGCCTTCGCGCCAAAATTCAAACTATTGGGTATTATAACGTAGTGTTCTCATATGGGTTAGGAGGAATGTTATCCCAGGAAATTGATAGAACATTACGTTACACACATCTAAAATTTTTTTTGGACAATATTTATTTTTTATAATGTGGTATTAAAAAACACATACAACCCTAAAGGACATTGTTCTGTGTCCATACATACTTAGCCTAAGAACCAACAATCATGAAATATTATTTTCTAGGTTCGAAATCGCAAGTAAATGACTGTAAAAACAAAGATTATTGACGGACACTTCTCAGACCTTAAATTATTAGCAAAACTAAAATCTTTTTGAGGTTATGTTTAATATTCAATGAAACATAGGTTAACCTATGAACTTAGTATGATCTCAGTATAAAGTGAATTAATTACAACTAATTCATTTTATTTGATGCGATTTTAAAGAATAACTATTAGGAAAAACTTGGTTAGGTAGGAATCATGAATAAAATAAAAACAATAGTTTTGCTTCTTATTATTTATTGACTATTTTTCACAATTTTCTCATATTGTATTTATTTGTTTAACACATGTATATTGTGTAAATATGCAGCGTGAATGTGTATCAGGTGCTCTTGAATAATTTGGCAGTATGATCCTCTCAGGATGTTGTGGCACAGATTCACTAGCATTTGGTAATAAGGTCTCTGTTCTCTGGTTACATCGATGGCATATTAGATAGCCGAAATAGTAATAGTTAAATTAAAGGAAAAACAATCGCAAATAAACACACACAACAGGTAATCCGAACGAGAATTTTCCGTATATAAAAAGTACTCTTTGACGAGAATGCACGAATGCCACAGATTGCAAACTGCCTGCACCACAACCACAGAGTATCGAGTTTATGCCGGCCCTTCACTTGACAACAGTTTGTCCTTGTCATGCTTAATAAGGAATGAAAAGGACAGACTGATGTCATGTTTTTAAATTGCAAATACGAATAGCCAAGTGATGTGCCGGCGTTAGGAAGAAAGTGTTTTTTGTTTGCAGTGCTGTCATAGATTATACACATAAAATGGTATCTATTGTCTCAGATTATTTATTAACTTTTTAATTTAGCTTACTTATCTGGAAGTGTCCGTCACAATCTATATACTGATAATTATCGCAAAAAATATACTAAGAATTATCATAAATGCCAAATTGGTGTTGGTTCTTAGGCCAATTTTAACATTGTCCTTTTCTCTTCTACCACCTGCCCCTATTTTTATGGCGGTACGAAGTTCGCTGGGTCAGCTAGTATATATATTATATACATATGTATTTCTTCTGTCCGTGTGTTTATGTAATTGAACTACACGGACGTACTATATCAGTGATTTACTCATGTTTTTTTTTATTTATTTATTTAAAAATCCAACAGCTTTACAATAAATACTTAATACTTAGAACGTCTAGAGCAGCAAAAAAATCATCAAACGGCCTCCAAATCGTCAGTCTTTTGAATAGAAGCTGCTGAGTTACTCCGGCTCCTCTACTATAAAGAAACCATACTAACGTCGCGTACTTGGCCGCAACGCCCAATTGTACTTTTTTTATGCGATGTACGCCTGCACGATATGTAAATTGCTAACGGAGTTACTTTATGACATTAATAAAACATTGTATGAATGCACATTTAAAATACTTAGACAAAATATTATTAGGCTTACTTATGTGTGCGTTGGAGTGGATCCCTGCAGGGTCTTAATCTTATTTGGATGGATCCAATAGTTAATGCAGCTGTAGAGTAGACAGAGGGGTTGTAGGTTTTTTCATATTTTTCTTGAAGGCGAAGTCAATCAGGTCCGTTAGTTTATTTACATATTAATCTCAAATATTTTCCAATATTTTCAATTAAGTAATTAGGTACTCAAATTATTTTTATTTTGCCGCAGTGTAGGCATGGAAGAAGTAACGGCAATCCCAGCCTTCTCAACTGACACCAGCATAAATAATTTCGGCTTCAAATTATTGAAAACTATGATGAAGCAAAACGAAAACAACAATGTTGTTTTATCGCCCACTGGCGTTGCAGGTATTGTAACTACATTATTATTTCTCTTTTACATTCCAGAAATTCATTATTTTTTATCATTTTTCTTTATCTAAATCCAGAAGTAAAGGAAAACCAAGGACTTAGTATCGAGAAAGACATTTGGGTCAACTACCTACCTACATGGTTTTTAACTCGATTCAAATAATAATAATAATAATTATATTTTTTATTTTTTAAAGCGTGTAACTGCTTGATGTTTAAATCTAAAGAAAATATAACTAGAAAAAATCGGTCCACGCGTTTGGTCTCTAGTGTGCCACAAAGAAACAAACATACATATACTTATAGACTGTTAAACACTATACCCTGTCTGCGCGTCGCGCTTCGCGCTCTTTCATTGCGCAGTCGGGTAAAAAGGGCCGCGGTAGCATAATTGGTCAGTGCATTCGCCAGGATTGCGAAGGGTGCGGGTTCGAGTCCCGTCTGCTGCCTGGTCCGCGTGGATTTTTTTCTAGTTATATTTTCTTTAGATAATAATAATGTTACGGTACAAGTACTGAGGCTGACCACATGTCCCAAACTTTTTATATGAGGGTGCAGTAAATATTTTACAACCCGGCTTGCTTCTTGAGCATCGACCATAGACAAGGAAACCTGCGTAGTAACAATTTTACTACAAAAAAGACTACTGTGCAAGATTTATTATCTGTGAGTTTTCTCAAGAAGTTTGCCGCTCCCTATGCACCTACCCTTTTTTTTTTTTTTTTTTTGTGACGAGGGGAAATGCAGTTACGCACCATACAGTGACGCTGACTAGGCGCACGGCGTGTGTGGGACTCGCCGGCACGGGAAACAGTGCCGACCCTACTCAAGCAGGACCAGTGCGGAAGGCCACACTGATCCTACTCCACTAAAACCCCCCGGTACCCTCCTACGCCCATATGGGGGCGTCTCGGGGCCGACGCACCTGCGTGCGCCACATCTCCGAGCACGCCCTCGGGCAGGCCCGGTCCAACGAGTGGACCGGGCGACGCGCCTCAGGGGGACTGCGCTAGGGTACTAGGCAGTCCCCAGAAGTGGTGGCCTATGCCGGAGCGGCACCTAGGACGCACGGCTGGTCAGGCCGCGCCCAGACCACCTTAGGGCCGTCGAAGACCGGCAGTCACCGCTGCCTGCCTTCTTCGGCCCACCCGTCTACGCCGGAGAGGGGCGGCTAGAGCGTCCTCCTCCCGCTCCCTCTCCGCTGCCTCCTTCTGCGTCATCACCGATTCGCAGAAGGAGGCGGCAACCCTCCAGGCTCTCTCGCTACCAAGCATGGCTCTTACCATACTTGGTAGCGTGAGGCCTCCTACGCCGAGCGCCGCGATCAGATCGCGGCGCTCATCTCGCCAGGCCGGGCACACGATCAACGTGTGCTCGGCCGTGTCATCGGGAGAGGCGCAGTGATGACACCGCGGCGTCTCCTCCCGACGGGCGACTCGGTGCAGGTAGTGACCGAAGCACCCATGTCCGGTCAGTACCTGCACCAGGCGGTAGGTGAGGGTGCCCCGCTGGCGGGGTACCCACTCCTCCAACACCGGACGAATCGCCTCGATCGTCCGGTGGCCAGCGGCTGGGTTGGCGAGTGCCTCCACCCATCGGCGCAGAGCCTCCCTCTGCGCCTCGGTGCGGACCCGTTCTATCTCCTCTAGAACGGGTCGCTCGCCCCGCTCTCTCGCCGCGACCCGGTGTTGATGCACCTGGGACAGTACCAGGGCATCAATCTCCCACGGGAGCGTGCCTGCTAGGACGCAGGCAGCCCCGTGGCTGACCGTGCGGTAAGCCCGCACGGCCCGGGTCGCGATGACCCTCTGCGGTCTTCGCAGGAGGGCCCTCGTGCGGGACGAGAGGCCGACGGCACTTCGCCTTCGGGCCCCCCACATTGGGGAGGAGGCGACCGAGTCCGGCTGCGACGCCGCACAGCCGGGAAGCGAGGAGCCTGAAGTGCTCCTCCCAGCTCCATCGGGGGTCTAGGGTCAGGCCGAGATACTTGAGATACATCTCGACCGGAACCCACACCCCCTCTACCCGGGCAAGAAGCCCCGGCGGGGTCCTGCATCTGGGACCATGGAAGGCCATGGCCCTCGTCTTTTCGAGGGCCACCTCCAGTCCCAGGAGGCGGATGCGTCGAACGACCATGGAGGTGCCGACCGACGCAAGGTGGACCGCCTCCTCCCACTCCTTCGCTCTCGCCGCTACATGGGTGTCGTCCGCAAAGCAGACGACATCCATGCGCGGCAGGAGCTCACCCCGCAGGACCCAGTTGTACCCCAGGTTCCATAGGAGGGGACCTAATACGGAACCCTGGGGTACGCCTGCCTTCACTGGCCACGACTGGACGCGGCCCTCCGCATCCTCGTACAGGACTGACCTGTCTCGCAGGTAGTCCCGGACGAGGGCGCGGAGGTAGAGTGGCACTCGGTGGAACTCGAGCGCCGCCTCTATGCACTCGTGGGGGATGGTGTTGAACGCGTTCGCGATGTCCAAGGACACCGCGATCACCACCTCCCCCCGAGCTGTGCCTCCTCAGTCCACCTCTTGAGACGGCCAACCGCGTCCATCGTGGACCGGCCGGTTCGGAAGCCGTACTGGCATTCCGCCAGGTCCAGCCCCTCACCCTCGATGTGCTCGATGATCCGGGAGGCGAGAATCTTCTCAAAAGCCTTCCCGGACTCATCGAGCAACACCACCGGCCGGTAGCCCGCTGGGGAGTCCGCCGGGCGGCCTTCCTTGCGGAGAAGGCAGAGCCGCCCCACTCTCCAGCGCCTGGGAAAGCGACCCGTTGCGATGCATGTATCTAGCACCGCGCGGAATCGCTCTCCCAGGGGGCCTAAGGCAATGGCCATTACCTTGGCCGGGGCCCCATCCGGAGCTTTATTGCGGCTCCGGAGCCGGTCCCTCACCGTATCGAGTTCTGCATCAGACACGGGGGGGCCAGCGGTCCACGCCCCCGGAGCAGAACCGGGGGGCATCCTGGGGGGTTCGAAGGGCCCGGGGTCTGGGAAAAGTGTCCCCAGCACCCTTCTCAGCAGCGCGGGCTCCATATCGGATGTGGAGGGGGCCGCCGAAGCGAACTTCCCCCTCACCGTCCGGTACGGCCTCCCCCAGGGGTCGCTGTCCAGGATGGCCAGAAATTCATCCCAGGCAGCGACCTTGGCCCTGCAGATGGCAGTACGCAGGGCCGTGTGGGCCTCGTTGTACGCCCGGCGGAGGACCTCCTCTTCGCCGGGCGCTCGTCTGGCGCGCCTACGGCATCGTTGGTAAGCGCGTCTGGCCCCCATACTGGCGGTACGCAGGATCGTGAGCTCCTGCGTCCACCAGTATGCCTGCCCACTCCTCCGTGGGCCAACCCGCGCCCTCGGCATGGCGGCGCTGCAGACGACGTTGATGTCGTCCGCGAAAAGGTCCGCCATGCCGTCGGCATCCCCCGCGACGGCGTCGGGGACCCCTGCCCAGGCCCGCACCGTCGCCGCCTCCTCCGCCACATCCGGCTGGAGGCGTGCGAGCGCCCACCGTTTGAACGGCGAGCCGCCCGCACGGGGGCCCACCGGGGCCCCTGGGGATGCCGTGGAGACCTCGTATCGGACGTATCGGTGGTCCGATAGGGTCTCCACATCCGCCTCCCCCCGCCAGCCCCGGATACGGGCCGCGAGCGGCGGGGTGGCGAAGGACACGTCAATGAGTGACGTGCCCTGCCACCGGACGCAGGTAGGGGTGGTTCCTCGGTTGAGGATCTGGAGACCGAGGGCAAACACCCAGGCCTCCAGAACACCACCCCTGACGTCAGTGCGGCGGGACCCCCACGCGGTCGATTTCGCGTTGAGGTCCCCGGCCACCAGCACCTGACGAGGGGCCGCGCGGTGCACGACCCCTTCAACCGCAGCGAGGAACCGTTCAAAATCGGCCCTGCTGCGGTTGGGGGAGAAGGAGGGCCCGCACTTGCCGCCACGATGGCAGCGGAGCCATCCGCAGCCCCCATCCACTTGTCGGACGGGGGGATACGGTACGGCTCGGAGACCACCGCAAGGTCGACCCCCCACTCCGCCATCGTCTGGCACAGGAGATCCTGCGCCCCGGCGGAGTGGTTGAGGTTGGCCTGGAGCAATTTCCCCAATGTCCTACTGGGCATCGTTGACGGACATTGGGGTCACTGCTGGGGTCGCCTCTGGCGTGGCGCGGGGGGCCGCCTCTGGTGCGGCACCAGGAGCCGCTGCCGGTTTCGGCAGGCGGCCCTTGACGGGAGGGGGCTTGCAACTGGCCCCCGCCATTCGGTGCCCGGCTGGCAGGCCCCTGTCGGCACACAACGCGCAGTGCGGTGGGGCCTTGCAGGCCTTGGCTACGTGCCCCTCTTTGCCGCAGCGATAACAAAGGCCGCTGCGATCCTTGTTGGAGGGGCACATGGCTCCCGGATGCCCCAGTGCCAGGCACCTGTGGCACCTCATGGGGCGTGGCTCCAGGAGCCGGACCGTCGCCGCGCTCCATCCCACCTCCAGCCTCCCATCTTTCACCAGCCTGCCCACGGCCTCCACTGGGCAGGAGGCGATGGCGCAGCCGATCCCCCTGGCGCCGGCGGATATTGCCCCCACCCTGATGGTTTCGGGGGGGCAGCCGGCTTTTTGGACCAGGGCCGCGCGGACTTCCTCGGGTGTCACGGTGTCATCGAGACCCGACATCCGGATATCCGCCGATTTTGCAGGGCGGGTCACTTTGGCGGCCTCGCCAAGGGCCTCACCCACCTTGGCCGCCGGACGGGAGCTCTATGATTCTCGCTCCCGTCACCGTCGTCCGGAACTTCGACGGGCCGATGCCCAGCTCCTCCATGTTTACGGACGCCTTGGCTTTGGCCAGGGCGTCCTTATAGGTGGCTCCGCCAGCCACCGCCTCTGGCTTGAGAGCCACCACCACCGCCAAGGTCTTGGGCGGCTTGGGTATTTTAGGGCCCTTGGCAGCCTTCTTTGTCTTCGGGCCCGCCGTCGTGGGCGCCGATTGGGCCATGGGCTTAGCCTTTTTTGGCTTCTTAGCCACGGTGACCCAGGCCCCTTCTGCTGGTGGTGCCGTCTCAGGCAGCGGCTGTGGTGCTGCCGTCATAGGCTCCTCCCTCCTTGCCGCAGGCGGAGCAGCAGCCGAGGGGCCTCCCTTCGCCTTTACCGCCTTCTTCGCCGCCTTCGCCCGGGCCTTTTTGGGCATGTTGGCGGCCGGGAGCAGCGTTGTTGTTGCTGCTGGCGGTTGCGCTGCCCTCTTGGACCCAGCCGGCTGCACGGCTCCAGGCGATTTGGAGGCCAAAGCCTTGGCGTCGGCTGCCAGTGGCGGCCGGCGTGGCTGCTCTGCCGCAGGCAGCAGTCGACCGTCCACCTCCAGGCCCTCTAACCTGGCCTGGAGCATATTGGACATTTGCTGGGCGAGCGAGCGCTGCATCTCCTGCAGCATGTTCGCAAGCTCGTCCTCGCCCCAGCATCCGCCGCCCGTACCCCCCGTAGGGGTGTCCAAAACTATCGGCGCCGCCGGTCCTTTGCGGCGCCCCTCTCCTGCCTTAGAAAAGTCCCTCCGCAGGGCTGTAAGCTCCTTGAGGACCTTACTTAACTCGCCCTGCAGGCGCTTGTTATACGGCCTGCAGGCGACGTATCTCCTCCGCCGCGTCCTTAGTCGCCAGGGCGCGAACCACCTTCATGAGGGAACCTGCGCCGTTTCGGATCTTCCGGCTGCAGGTCCCCTTTATATTCTTGGCCCTCCTGGCCACCTCGGTCACCTCGTTTGCCTTCTTTGAGGCCTCCTCCACCAAGTCCTGCACGGACATACTCCTCGTCATAGCGTCCATCTTGCCCTCGGCGTCCGTGAAGGTTTCCGTTAAGGTATCGGACGAGCCTGAGTCTGAGCCGAGCTCCCTCGCTTCTCTCTTGGCCTGCGACAAGCCGACGCTGTGCTTCTTGGCACCTCCACCTCTTCTGCCCCCTCTCGACCGGGCCACTTTAGGCTCGGGTGCTTTCCCCGATCCCGCATCCTTGCGGAAGCTCGCCGCCACGCTCTTTCTCTTGCGGCTTGTCACCGAGCCGGCCAAAGATTCGGCCGCCGACTCTGCTCCCGTGTCCATATTTTGATCTATCGCAGATCCGCTCGCTTCCTTCTCGAGGACCAGGATCAGAGACCCATCCTTTTTCGAGGGACCAGCCTGGCTTCTCGTCACCCTTCCCTCTCCAGGTTCTGGAGGAAACTCCTGACGCCTCGCGTCCTCGACGCCCTTTCCTTCTTTCTCCCTTTCTGGCCTATCCAGGCCCTCTCTCCTTTCCTCACAACTACCACCTTCCACGTCTTTACATTTTTGGGTTTTTAATTTGTTCAACATCATAACTAATCCCACGAGTATGGGGGAAATATATGGTCCACCCAGGCAGTGCCCCCTGTGCCTGGGTAACCCTAATACTCCCGGGGCGGCGGGTGGTGCCCCGGGGTGGGAAGCGCTAGTCGGTGGACTTCCCCAGCCCACCACCATAAGGCGCCTGGTACCACGCTTACACTTGAATACCAGTTAACGGGTAATCCCGACGCTTTGGGGTTTTTTAACGAGGTATGCTCCTCTCAGGGACGGCCAACAAAGGCAGTCCCCACTGGTCCTGTGTGGTGCCGCTAGACGTGACAACGACACACACACAGGTCTCCAGCTCGCCCGACGGTAGGCCGAAACCCATCCCCAGTGACCACACTCGTGGCCACGGGGCCGCCGCGCACGCGGACCTTGGAGGTCCGCAAACCACGCCGTCGAAACGGCCGCTGGGCCAGCCAATTAAGGCAAGCCCCGCCAACCGAGCAGTTACGCCCGGGTGTGGCATCGCCACATGGGACCGGAGTCCCCGCGGAACACTGTCCGCCATCCACCGCCGACAAGGCCACTGATCGGCTGCCGCTACCCGGGATGCCCAGGACGCCAGCCGATCCCCTCAGGGTGATTTTTTATAGAGGTTTTCTTCCTCGCGACCACTGCCCTCCGAAGAGAGTGGCAACCCTCGGCCCCGCACAAGTGCGGGGTTGCGAGCTCTCCCCCAACTCGGCTGCCGCTACCCGGGATGCCCAGGACGCCAGCCGAGATCCCCAACGGGTAATTTTTTAGAGAGGTTTTCTTCCTCGCGGCCCCCACCCTCCGAAGAGACTAGCGGCCCTCGGCCCCGCACCTCGTACGGGGTTACGAGATTGTCGGCTATTAGACACCTCCGTAACAGCACCCTCAGTGGGAGACATTACGCAGGCGCCCAGGATGCACCGTCCCGGACCCATTTCCGTTCCCCTATCATAACTGACCAGGGACAGGAAATGGACCGGGCACACGAGGAGGTTTCCGACGTAGCACCCCCCCCTATGCACCTACCCTACCTCATGTTAAGAGTATGTCTTAATTTATTTTAATGGTAGTGCAGTCCATAACAATATATATGATGAGATGGATGCGGCAGAATAATGTACGGTATCAGTTATCCTTAACTTGCCAGCATACCCTTCTTTCCCAGTGGGCACTTTAGGCAAGTGCCCAGGGCCCCGCGATCGATTGGAGGCCTCCTCAGATCAAATACCAAGTCCCTAGTTCCTGTTAAATCACCAAACGGAAGTCATAGGGGCCCCATTATCCTAATACTGGTATGCCCAGGGCCTCCAATAGGTCAAAGACGGCACTGCTTGCCAGCCTATCTAAACCAATCCCCTGCCCCGCGGGGCCCAGGAACCTTATTACTCACACCCTCACTTTTTTATTTATTTAATTTATAATACTTTACTTAAGTAAATTTAAATTTATCTCAGAAATGCCGAAACATTATTAAATTATAGTCTAGGCTACGCTTACACCTACCTACCAATTTCAAAAAAACCAGATAAATAGAGGTTTTATTTACCTACATATGAATATTCAAACATACTTCATCATTGAATACATAAAAAAACCATCTGTTTTTGTTTTTTTTTCAATTTGCTGTTATAATGGCAGGTTTGCTGGCAATGACGCTTCTAGGCAGCACTGGCGAAACGTACAACGAAATCGCACAACTAATCGGGTTTTCTGAAGGTAAGTAGGTTAAAAACTAGCAAAGTCAAACAATAGTGTACCATCGACAAACACATTCAATACTTTAGCACTCAAAGAAATCACGTGCGTAAAAAAGGAAGCAGGAAAAATATAATGGTTGCTAATGTTCGCATCGTATGCCAGTCAATAGGCATCGTCTCATGTCACGTTATTTAGATTTTTACCGTAAGTTCTATCCATTATCTTTAAGTATTTCTAAATCATTAGGTACACCTGTTGACTTTTACATAATTAACTCGGCAGGAAAAAAATATACATTGTTTAAATGTTTTTGGAGTTTTTGAAGTGAAAACTTCTTAAGCACCGTAGTGATTTAAGATTCTATGAAACGGAAGTAGAGTATTTGACAAAAGCTAGGTATCCGTAATTTTATCGTATACTTTAAGACACGGATAGTCGAACGGTAACGGTCTTGGGGTCGACACCAACTGATCGGTGGTACGACCCTGATCTCGGTATTTAATTTTTAATTGTTTAATTTTTCGAAACAGTTTATAGAATATTTAAATTTGCCCAGTATTTTACAAAAGCTGAATAGTTAAGTATTTAACGTTTGGTAGGTGCCTAAATACAGGCTAGGTTTTTATAATCAATCCTTACGTTTCAGATGTTTGCAATTTTTTTTCAGAAAAATTTCATAAATTAATATTTCGAAAATACCTAAGGTAAGAAAAACATAACAAAAGAAATAAAATAAAAATAGCTGGTAACAAATAAAACTTTTACGTGTTTATAAATTTGTAGGTTTGTAATGGAAATAAAACTATGATCTTTTCACATTACTGACACGGGTAAATAAATCTTGAGGAACATGTGGATATATCACACTTTAAGATTACATAATGAGAAAAGAATGTTTTCTACAAAATTGGGGTCAATTCGGTTGAAACGTCCTCGACGTCACCATTTTTCTCGGAGCGCGTACTTCAAACTGATGTAAATAAATCTAAAGCTCAGAGAGCACTGCATTTTTATACACAAAGCCATCTTCATATTTTGCCTAAACTAAAGAAACAGGACTGCCCACAGAGGACAATCAAGTGTTGACTGGAAAAACTTGTATGAAACTTAAATGTCATGGGACGTTTGGGAGAGTACAGCGCTTGAGAAAAGCCATCACAAAAACCGTGGCGTTTTGTATACGTGAACGTATTTTACGTGTGTAGATATTTCTCATAATTTTTATATCTATCGCAAAAACAAAGCAGTGTTTTTGTCATCAACCAATCTCGCGGGGTACCGGGTCCGATCCTCGGTCGAGTCAACTTATAATATTATCGTAGTATTTTCTGATTACCGGTGAGGCCAAACGAGCGTTATTTTGTGAGTGGTGAGTCGTAGAATTTCGGTCGCAGAAATTCTGCTGCATTCGGTTTCATACAAAAAGGCAGTTGGTGCCACACGACAACGCAAAATGAGTTGTTCAATTCAGTTGAACGTAAAATAAGTGACCGAAAATAAGCGACTCACAACTCACAAAATTACGCTCGTTTGGCTTCACCCTAATACAAAATCTTCAATTAACATTTTTTTTAAATAGTAATATTTATTCAATGGATATCGTCTGATATGTTCATTACAGTTTATTTCTTAATCGTTGATAACTAAATAGTTTTATAATAAAAAAAAAGTTTATTAATTCGTTTGTCTAGAATCTAGAAATTAAGCATTTTCTTATACGATTACGGCAGTGCTTTTGTAGCAAGATAAGAATGTGTGCTTTAAATTATATAACCTTTAAAATAGTTTGCATAAATTCCTTAGATGGAGCGTCCGATCGCAAGTACATAATATCTAATAATGATTAATATTTTAAAGCATCTAAATAGGACCCATAGTATCAAAAATTTGTTACAAGAAATGAGTGCGTTGTTAACAGATTGTACAATATCATTACTGTGACTTTGACATACTCAACAATACAGAGATACTCAACGTTAGTTCTATCCAGTGTACTCCGGTGTCTGCATTTTAAAACCTTTGTCGGTCAGAAATATCATAACGAAATGAAGTAATAATGCCTTGAAAATGGACCTTTGCCGGTCAGAAATATCATAGTAAATGGCTATCGCCATAGCAATCCCCATAGGCGGTAGGCCCGCTGGCCACAATGATCTTTAGAACGCTGTTATTGGTGCTAAAGTTACGGTGTGTTAGGCAGATGGCTTTTTAAAGTAAAAAAATATGTTCAGACAGCAACCTTATCAATGGGAAAACCCCTTGACCGTTAATTATTCATCTCTGTTTAGATATCCTCAAAAATCGGAAGTACCATGAAGATTTTGGCTCAAGACTACAAGCTCTGAACAGAAACGATACAAAGACTTTGTATGCAAATGGCATATTCGTAGACCAACAATCGATGCTGCGTCAGATCTACCATTCCTATCTAGAGCGAGTTTATAATGGAGAGGCTTTTGCCACAGACTTCAAGGACACCAACCAGACTAAGGATTTGATTAATGAGTGAGTTTGCTAAGATGAAGTAATTTTTTGTTACATATTTTTATTATTTATTCTAATACAACTTAAATTTTCATTTGGTATTTCTGGTTTCTTGTTTGATTTTTTGTAGCTGGTATTTACCGCGCTTCGATCAATAGAATATTGCGTATTGTTGATCGAAGACACCGTGAAACAAAAGTACCTACCAGAGTTAAATTAACTTACCATTAATTAACTCGGGTTAATAACCAATAACTAACACGCGTGAACGACAGTACCAATTATTCAATCATTGGTCGTTCATCTAAATTTTAGTCCGGTCAATCAAGACATTCAAAGGTACATTTACATCAAGCTGAAAACCTCGAGTCAATTTTTTTCTAATTACCGGAACGATGGGGAATATTGAAATGTTATTTTTAATTATGTTTTGAACGATTTAACTCATTTCCAAATTTATGTACCTTCACTCTTATTTTTCTGTCTAATTTGACCGGCTTATTTTGGCAAATAATATGATAACTATTGGCTTGCGCAGACGACGGCCTTTTCTCAACGCACACGGGTCTGTTATCTGAATACTTGACTACCTAGTACTTGTATTTAAGATACTTTTTGAGGGGTATCTATTACATCTCTGTTGACAGATGGAAGTTATAATCACCGAGCTATTTAGTGATCCACTACTGCTTTATTATAACGCCACTAAGATACTTGTTCGGAAAAGCATCGATAGATATGCTATTTTCTCTTTAGTTACCTACACGCTGTAAATGTCAAAAAAATTAGGGAATAGAATAGACCCGTAGGAGGCATACTCTTAAAATCAATATACCTATCGTAATAGTCAACGTCGTCCACCCTTCTCTTACTTGCATAGTTTCAAATGCCGCCAGGTAGGATATGCATTACGATGTTCTGTTCACAATACATCAAATGTTGCTGAGGAGTACCACCCACATCCATGGTACCAACGCACCGCACCATTGTAATATTTCGAGTTGGCGTGGAAAGCCGAAAATCTTGACTATTTTGAATCCATAAACAAATGTTCCAATCCTCAAAAAACGTTTAATAGTAAACTAAAGAGTAGTTTAATGTTTTTTTCAGATGGGTCAAGAATCATACCAACAACAAGATTGAAAGTTTTCTTCGACAACCTCTGCCAATGAGCACAAAAGCCGTGTTAATAAATGCTCTTTATTATAGCGGACAATGGTCGTATCCTTTTCTTCCTGAATATACAGCAATGTAAGTACTCTAACTACAGTCTTGTGACCGTATCGTAATCTAATGCGATACTTTTTTATGTCTTATGCTTCTCCTCCACCTGCCCGACGAAGCTTTGGTATTAAAATTTGCGTTAGAAATTGAAATTATTTCCATTAGAGTAAAATCCCAAGACACTGAAGAAGCTGCTGAAGCTGTATCTAAAAGGCACTTAATTACCATGAGAGAGCCTTTTCTCACAGTGGCTGTTTAAATAAGCTTAGGAAATCTTTAGCCCCTTAGATTGGTCTGGCAACTTACAAAATATTTATAATGTACCTAGCCCCCTAAAGGACAATGCCAGAAGTTCAATATTATATATTTTTTCATAAATTTAATATTACTGTAAATGGTGGGTCAGAATCTGGCATTGTCATTTTGCACACTAATACTATTCAATTATCCATATTTTGTCCATGAGAAAATAAGTAAGGTCTGGCAGTCTTGTGATCTTGTACGCTATGCATCGTAAGTACGCTCTTTCAGCTGCACATACAAAGTCGTCTCCCACAACTTCTTTTAAATGTGTCAAAAATCGCCAGTCTAACTCATAGAGTACATTATATACTAGTAATAGAGATATCAGTTAACCTGAGCATACAGCGCTATCTAGCGATTCATGACATAATCACAAGTCATGTACTACTGAACCGGTCTAGCTATCGTCTCGTTCTTATTTCAGGCAGCTCGATAAAATCGTTACGATTGCAGCGTGGCTACCTTGCGATCCCCAAAATACAGTTTCGTTTTGTACCTACCACTCAAAAACTGCTGTTAAATACAAATAGCATAGAATCCGAATTCCGAATTTCCGAAAAGTGTATTCCGAATCAAACACCAGTACCATGGTAATAATATATATTATTACCATGCCAGTACGCTGGCCAGTGGTAATGACGTCATGATTTCGACGCCATATTGACAACACTACTACTACACCAGTGCAATATGGCGTCGAAATCGTGACGTCATTACCGCTGGCCAGCGTACTGGTCTATATTTCGGAATACACCCTGCATCATTGGTGTACTTATAATCCCCCCTTACGAGTAATTTGGAAGAATTACTCGAGCGCCCCATCGTGTGGGGTATGGTTGAATAGGTCCTTTAAAATTACTTAAGGGTTCCAAAGACTATTTTTCTATCTAGGGATTCGTTTACAAAATATTGAACTTTAAAGTGGTAACTATTGTTCGTGTAGGGCGTCCCCCCGCTCTAAAAGCTAAACTTGACATGAAAAATTCATGATAATAGTGCTTTTCATTTTTAAGGAAATAACTCAACTCAACTATTAAGGAAGTTTATCAGGGTTACAATAGATTTGTTAATTTAAGAGTAACAGTTTCAATCAACTTTTCATGAGAAACATAACTAATATAAAATTAATTTTCTCATGAAAAGTGACTTAGACGAACGAATTACTTAAAATATAGACTCTTTCCAAAATATATCGTGGTGACGACGAGCAACTACGGCGCCCTACACTGCGCGTTCCACGACGCGCACTTGGCCGGATTTTGTTTTTTATTCAGATTAAATGTAATAGGTAAACTATATATCGTCGAAATACCTACTTACCTGCCGACGCACCGGACGCTTTCTGTAGCTATTTATATTTCCAATTCAGTTAGCTAACACTCAAATCCGTTGTTAAATTCATTCGCGATAACAAGTACTACGCAATAGTTAGGAAGAGAGGCAGCGCATAGTGATTTTTTCCGCTCGAATTGCTCGAATCGCCCGTCTGGGGAAGTAAACTCCACCTTACAAAAGAATGCGGTGAAATAACACTAGGTACTGCGGCGATCTACCCTGAGGGGATAGATCCTGGGGGCGTAGTTTTATCAAATGGAAAACATGTTTCACTCTTTTATTTTATTAGAAATCAGGCGAATATAATAATTGAGCTTAATCTATCAACGTATGGTTTGGTGCCTGAAGTCTATCTCCTGAAACCTTCTATCAAACGACAGAAGATTCCCAATTTCAAATCTTTAAATATCATGACATTACCTTTTTAATATAACTGCCAGCCGTAGGGTACGGCCAGAGTGCACTCAGATTCAGATTCAGATTCCGAAAACAAGCGCGAGAAATAAACAGTGTAGTTAAAGCAGGGTGGCCATAGTGGCCGCAGGCAACCTGCTTAAACTACACTGTATATTTCTCGCGCTTGTTTTCTGAGTCTGAATCTGAATCTGAGTGCACTCTGGTCGTACCCGTAGGCATTACACGAACAAAGAGTTTACCCACAGAACACACTGAGTTACCTCTTTCTGTGTTCTGTGAGTTTACCCAAACAAGGAGGCTGTAACGCAACGGACGTTACAGTACCTACCTTTTTTTAATAATCGACGCCATTATTGCATTTTAAAATGACACAAGTAGGTAGTCCCCTCGCCAACTTCCCTTGGCAACAGCCGCCAATAGAGTGCACAGTGGCGGGACAAGACCTAAATTTGATGTGGGCAAGACAGATTTCGCGAGGCCCTGTTCTGTGGCGACTTAAAGACGGATTTTATAAAAAAAAATCACTTTTAAGCAATGCATAAAAATTTTTGAGGCGCGAGGCCCCTTGTACCGCGAGGCCGTAGGCGGTGGCCCACGTCGCCCACGCAGTGCACTAAAGTAGTTTCTTTCATACTCATTTTTAAAAGCAGAATACATCTTAGGGTGCGGCCAGAGTGCACTCAGATTCAGATTCAGATTTCGAAAACAAGCGCGAGAAATAAACAGTGTAGTCGAAGGGTACGGCCAGAGTGCACTCCTGATTCAGATTCAGACTCAGAAAACAAAGCGCGAGAAAAAGCAGGCAACCTGCTTAGACTACACTGTTTATTTCTCGCGCTTGTTTTCAGAATCTGAATCTGAGTGCACTCTGGCCGCACCCTTACTCTTGAGACACATAGATTCTAAAACTCTAAAGAGTCTGTCAACTGTCAAAATAAATAAGCACTAAATAATTTTACAGTAATTTCTTTAAAAAGACACGATTTTCTTGTCTCTGATAGTGTATTTTGTGTTCTATCTTAAAACATACATAGGGCTTTTAGTCTGCAAAAACGTAAAAATATTTACCGATAGAACTAATTCAAATTTGGAACACTAATTTGAGCGCATTTAGTACCAAGATTCGTCGCGCAGATGTGGGATAAGCCGAGAAAGGCATGACGCCTTCTTTCCCAGAATGCGTGCCGAAAGAGCGGGAATGGAAGGTAGTAGCCAAGAGCTTCTTAGCGACTTAATCCTATTCAGAGGGCATGCATTGCATATGTTACCGACAATCTGTATAATCAGGTATTCTATACAATAGGCTAGTTGACACTTTTTGGAAATATGTTTTAAATGGTTAATAATTGTTCAATTAAACCGAAAAAAAATGTATTGTTATTTTTTTTTACCTAGAAAGCTACAAAACTTAAATTTTAAAATAGATTTTTCATGGACATACAAAAACGCTGTCGGCCATTTTAGTCTATAGATTATCTATGGTATGACGGGAACAATAGTAAACAAACACTCGCAGGATATAACCTATCTGAATTTACATTACAAAACCATGATTTCTAATAGATTTCATGATAAATATAGTAATTATCATGATTATACGAGAATAAAGAAACACATCGTTAAAAACTCCAGAAATGTTGTCCTCCAATTTTTAAGGTTATGAATGTACTTTGCTAAGTCAAAGAGTTTTGTCGTTTCTGCTTTCACAAATCCGGCGTCCAGCATTCATTTAGTCAAGAAAACCAATAAACGGAAACTTCTTCAAGATATAAGAGTTTTTAGATATATTTTAGTCGGACGAAAGAAACCACACTAACACGACAATGACGTTTAGTAGTTTTGCTATTATGTTGACGTCACAATCATGGTGGACAGCGTTTTTAGTGTTTAAAAAGCATAGACTAAAAAACTTTTTTTCAAATTAAATTACTACAGCCATCTTTTAGTTTTATGAAGTGAAATCGATGTATTTAGGTTCCTCATACCAAAAATTATAAGAAATAAACATTTGTATAGTCCAATTTGACATGAGTCAACTAGCCTATTGTTAGACAATGTATAGAATGCCTTAAACGTCAAGGTAATGTATGAAATATAATTCATTTAATACTTTGCCTATGTATTCTATACAATACTGGATGCGCAGTCCGCAATGTATGTAAAAGAATACCTTTATGAAGATAGCTAGTCGACTCTTCCTTATTTTATTTAAAATTATTTATGTACTTATGATCTATTAGGTGACTGGCGCTGCGCCTCCCGCTGCCGCGGGGGTCAGAAATAACAAAATGATATCGTAAGCGATAGCAACAGCAATCTTGTTAGGCAAATAACCCCCCGTAGTTGCCATGGAGCCATGGAAGTTGCCCATCTCAAAGCACAAAACACAACAACGGAACATCTTCAGGGCCAATAGGGACTTAAAGGACATTGGGCAAAACTGTATGGACGATGCACCCACGTCCGCCACGGCTTAAACTAAATTCAAATTCAAAATTTTTCAAATTCAATATCGTTTATTCAGTCTAGGCTGTTACAAGCACTTGTGAATGTCGAAAAGCTACGCCATCGGTTCGCAAATCTACGGCGGGAGACCTTGTACTGAGAAGAACCGGCAAGAAACTCAGCAAGGGCTGTTTTTTTCTCCCTGTCTTATTTCATACAGTGTCGTCCAATCCAAGTTGACATCAAACTTGCAAACATGTGTTGAGGTCAACTTCCATCACATAATGTCAAATATGTAACAATAGACAATCATCGAATTTACTAACAATAAGTGCAAAGAAAAGTCCCAAAATAGCAAGAAACAATTTTCAAAACAAAATGAACAAGTATATGAAAGGGAGTAAGTGCAAGGTTCTCTTCAAAACTCTTTCTAAGGCTGGGAGCCTTAGTTTTAATATAACTTTTGAAATATTATCTACAGGTAAAATTACAACCAAGCCGTTTTATCATTCAAATATTGATTGACAGTATAATATCCTTTCTTAAGTAAACAATTCTTAATGTGTATTTTAAATTTATGAGGAGGCAAATCAAGGATATCAATAGGAATCTTATTATAGAAATGTATACCTTGACCCATAAATGATTTATGAACCTTCTGTAACCTGTAATTTAGTATCTTGAGTTTATTTTTATTCCTTGTATTAAAGGAATGTATGTCACTGTGTTTGAGATAATAGTTAATATTGCTTCGAACAAAAAGTATGCAATTATAAATGAATTGTGAAGCAACAGTCAAAATCCCGATTTCTTTAAAATTTTCTCTAAGAGATGTTCTAGAACTAAGTTGATAAATAGCCCTTATGGCTCTTTTTTGCAAGATAAATATAGTTTCAATATCGGCTGCTGATCCCCAGAGAATAATACCATAGGATACAATACTATGAAAGTAACTAAAGTATACAGTTCTAGCAGTACATTTACACTACATTTGTTTCAAAGGTATTATAGTCATGATCATGTGACAAAGCGCATCAAATTCCATCCCGGGGGTCTTTAGTTATTTTTAGTTAAATAGGTACAAGTACTACCTATAACGAACGAACATTAATAAAATACCTACGGGAATTAATTTAGTTAGTTCGACCCTACATTGAGGCATAGCATATCAGGTATTATGGGAGTACTCCACAAGGTGCAAGGGTGCCCCCTTGTGTTATTCTGCCGCGCTAGAGTAAATCCAAAAATCCCTGCATGGGTTGGGGTTTTTTCAAACAGTCTGTTCGTAATAGTTAATTGTCTTCTATGTCAAACGGAGCGACCACAAATTACACAAACTTGTCCACTCTTCGAAGAAAACATGATTCCAGTTCATCCATACTTATTGACAAAACCGATAATCATGTTCCAATGTCCAAAGCGTGTTAGATAAAAAACAATCAAGTGACAGGGAGCGCACAATCACAACGAAGTAAGACGAGTCGACTATTTGCAACTGCAAGTCCTTTAACCCTCGTAAACCGTTTTGAGGTGACTCAGTAAGTGCAAGCCTTGCGCAGGATGGTCGGCAGGCTTTGTCGTATATCTGGTTGTATAGTGCGATAAGATTACTAATATTGTTATGGTTACTAATAATATAAAATGAAGGCACTATAAAGTGAATTTATTTAGCTACTTAAAATTTAAGTGAATTCACTTTACATGGGCATATTTAATATGTCCATGTGTCATATCTTTTGACTACCAGGATATGTTTTTACGGTGTCATAATAAAAATGGCTACTTTTTCATAGATCTATCGATTCATTCTAATTACATTGTTGGCGGAGTTGGGTGTTTTGCCCATTGTCCTTTAATTGAAGTTTTTGAGTGCGGATCGTTCAACTGTTCCGCAGCGTGAACACCCCAGCAAACTTCTTGAGCATCGATCATAGACAAGGAAGCCTACGCAGTAGCAATTTAACATAAAAAACGTCTAATAACGTAACTTTATTTATCTGTGATTTTGCTCAAGAAGTTTGCCGCTACCAAGAACACGGATCTATGTTCTGTGCCGCTACCTGAAAGAAAATGAATGCGTTTGCGAAAGGGAATATTTATAAATAGTTTTTTGAGTGGTTAACGAGTTCGACCAGCAATCGTAGTAGTTAAGCAACTCAATGTTTCGTTGTATTTTAGTTACACACATTGAATACGACACATCGTGTTCTCTTCCGTGCTTCGTATAGTGGTATATGCTCTAATGTATATGGTCTCGGCTGCATCCGCATCCGTTAGAACCCACCGATTCGCATTGGCCCGCGTGATTGGTAACGGCCTAATCTCCTTATTCCTTTTATGGGGGATGCTTATATCCCAGTATTGGGACTTTGGACATTAATAGGCTGATAATGAAGACGGTTTAATTTGTTGCAGGTTGCCTTTCAAAGCTCCTACAAAAGAAGTTCTTGTTGATCAGATGGCAAACTTTGGACAGTTTAATTACTTATTTTCTATTGAAAACGGTTAGTTGTGTATGTTACCAGAAAGTCATAACTGTCTTTAATACATTTTAAGTAAATTATACAACAAATATTCTATGTTTTCTTTTCTAGGACTACATATGATTCAATTGCCGTACAACGACAGTGTTACCAGCATGTATGTAATAAAACCAAGATTTCCCAAGGCAAAGACAATAACAGAACTACTGGACAGTCTTGATTTCGAGAAAATCGACAATCTTATAAACCAAATGTCGATGAAAAAATGTGTAGTACGATTTCCAAAGATGGAACTGGAGACTTCAGTGGATTTAAAAGACCCTTTAAAATCACTCGGAGTTCAAGCTATGTTCACTCCTGGTGTGGCGAATTTTGCTGTAATGTTGGACGCAAATGTAACCGTTAATGATCCAGAGGAGAATCTAATCGCTAGAATCAGTACTGGAGAAGGCGAGGCCAGAACTTTGAAGGAAATGCTCGACCGCCTTGTTAATCCAGGCGTGTACGTCGACTCAGTAATGCACGAGGTGAAAATGACTATTGACGGTAAGACTGACTAAAATATGTAGGTTTTAAGACGGCGGCCACGCTGTCGATGTTTTAGGCTCTATTCATTTGACGCAAGTGGGATTTATGTTGAGTACCTACATAGTTAACTTACAACTGCTGGTGTTAAGTCTCTAACCCAAACAGGGCTACATAATCGAGCCCTGTGCAGCCCACAGCCTTTCGCTGCTAGTCTTTATTAAATCATAGTCTTCCTCTTGTGTATTATTAGTAGTAATAGTTATCGTTGACTTTTGTCCATGGAGAACTTTAGTCCGCGTATTATGAAAAAAATGTCCGCCAAGGAGTTCTCACGGACTCAACGCAAACGATATGGAAGAAATATTCTGAGATAATGTTGTATCGTGTGTGAGAACATAATTTTGTTTTAGTGGCTAAGCCTCATCAAAGTTTTGACGAAATAACTTTCGAAATAATGCTCGACTCAAGATCAAAGTTTCAAGTTTTATATTACTTTTAGAAGATTGATCATCCGGAAATAATATGTAACACAAAGGGATGTTTTAACATTATATCATACAGAGAAGCTCGCTCGTCGCATACCTACAAAGGTAATTGCGTCTAATAAGGGCCGGGTTTTTGGAAATCGAAATAAATCAATGTTTGGAAGTGTGATAATTAGTACGACGTCATGATCAACCAAACTGTTTTTATTTGAAAAGAAAAAGTTGCACAAAAACAACACACGAATGACCATTTATTTACAAAAAAAGTTTTTTAAAAGCTTGTTTATGGTCCTTATTGTGTACTAGGGCAAGGAATTAAGGTCCATGATTGAACTGCAAGATTTCAAACGTTGAGTATCAGAAAAAATAAATCTTTAGATAGCAACGGCTTTAAACTACTTTCAACTTCATGACTTTCCAATATTAAAACGGTAATTCATATAATTTAGTATTGTGGCCCTTATAAAGTCATACGAAATATATATAAGTTGTAACTTATATATTTTCTAGCTATAAATGAAACAAATTGAAGGTTTGTGCAAATTTTTATTAATTTTACTAAAGACAATCACTAAAAGTTACTAATGAGTTATTTTTTCAGTCTTAATCTTTGGACCTTATTAGGTATAACACTTATTTAATCATAGTGTGGACCTTATTAAGTGTTTCTAACAGGTAACACGGCAACCACAGAACTTAAAGGTTCAGTGTGAATATACTTATCCTTATGAAATATATTTTCTATTCAGTAATCAAAATAAATGTATATAAATGCCACTTGCTAGGCCAGGCTGCTTATTTACACTCATATAAGTCATTTATGTAACTGATCATGCCTATTTTAAAATATCGTACCCCCAATAAGGGCCGGCCCTTATTTGTAGACAACAACTTGGACCTTCTTAGGCAATCACATGTGTCCTGAGAAAATGACACAAAATTTAGATAAATAAGCAATAATTTTAGTAACTTGCCCCGTCTATCCACGTTCTGAAAGTATTTTAACATTACTATTGCAAAATTATTACATAACACCGAGTTTTATTACTGAAACAAAGCAAAATTGGATCAGAATATTTTATTCGTTCAGTCACGTCGACTGCACCTGAGGTTACACACAGAGCCACTGCCAAAATGGCCGGCGCAGAGGCAATGAACGTCGGTGCGCTTTTATGATTGGTTACTGGGGAGGCGCTGCGCAAAATCAGTTTTAGTTTAAATATTAAGTGCGGGAAGTTTGAAAAGATGGACCTTATTTGGAACCGGCCCTTTTTAGGCGCACTTACCTTATTTTCTTGATGAATACCTGTTTAAGTTCTTCATTTATTTATTATTTCCTACAGAATATGGGACTGAAGCAGCAGCGGCAACCAGCGCGTTGATGGCACGATCGGCCGAGTCATTCTATGCGGACTCACCATTCTACATGTTTATCCGTAACGAGAACACCAAACTGATCACGTTCAGCGCTGTCATATACGACCCAACAAACTAGGTTATAACGTACATCATTAACCATACAACCTAACAATACCTCAACCATAAGTAGTAAGATCCATTTGAGATGATGTCTGCGCTTCTTATGTGGATTACACACTGCATGCAAAGCATTACAGTGATAGGTATCTATAGACCGCCTTTTTTGACTTGAAAATGATGCGCCTCTAGCGCATTATCATATCCTCACAATACAGAGTAGTTTTCTTCATCTATCTAAACGTACCGGTATGGATATTGTTTTTGACGTGATAACGCCTTATAAATCGATGAACACCGGCTGCACGGACAAAAAGGTGTGACGTCAGTCATGATGTAAAGTTATGTTACGAGTTAGCCTCCGCGGGCGGGGGGGAGGGGGGAAGGTGTTCCTTGGACCCCCCTGCCCCCTCCCTCTCGAAGAGTAGCTTTCCCCCGCGGAAGCCCCCACAGAGTTACAGAGGCGTGCTTGGGCTCAAATGAACTGGAACAAGAAACACCACAAAACTGCTACGAGGAAAACAGCGAACGACACGTTATCACGTAAAGTTATCGTCAGAAAATCGACTTTACAGACAACCGATTTTTATTGTCTCTAGACTACGAAATCGTAAAAAGTCGCTCTCTGCAACTATTTAAAAATCTGCTGTGTTATCACCACCTTTTATATTAAAACCAATGTCTGAAATTGAAATTATCAAATTGTGGTATGTAACGAAATTTTATCTTGAAATAAATAGATTTATCCTTTAAAAAGAATTTTATTACTAAATTAATAGATATATATCTAGATTAACTTATTTAGCCATCCATATACCTACAAATTAACATATATATGGTTGTTGTAAACCCAATATCTGCTATGTGCAAAAAATATAACGTACAGACATAGCAAGCCGTCAGCATATTTGACAATACCTATTTAATTTTTACTGGCTGATGCAAATTGCATTTTATAAGCAACCTCTGTTTACCGTTATAATGCTAAGATTCGAATAGCAGTCTTTGTATTTGGAAATTCGGTTTATCATAAAGCAAATATTTAGTGATGAAAATGTCGAAATCTCTAAAAAGTGAACATAGCAGATATTGGTTTGACAACGACGTGTGCATACAAGTTATATTTACTTAGAACCTTTGATTATTTACTCTCAGAACTTAGTTTTTTTGGTATTATTGAAATAGTATATTATGTTAAGTACTATTTTACTCAGTTAATAAACTTTTTTTTATTTTCTGTGGTGTAACAAGGCTTTATTTAGACTGATTCCTTTGCTTGCTTCCAATAGGAAGGAACAAAAAGGAAGAAAATTTTAACGTCACTTCACACCTCTGTGAAGTTAGCCACCCACTTTTTGAATTTTATTATTATCTAGGTTGTTCTGGGTTGTTCTATGTTTGTTCTACATTGTTCCAAAGTATTATTTGAAAAAAATAAAATTTGAAGCTGCCAGACAAGAAAAACCGTTTTTCTATGGTAGCCCCCCATGTTTGGAAATTCAATATTTTTTTAGTTGTTCCAAGTTGTTCTAGTTGTTCCGAACATTGTTCCAAAGTATTATTTGAAAATATTCAAATTTGAAGCTGCCAGACAAAAAAAACGTTTTTATGGTAGCCCCCCATGTTTGGAAATTCAATATTTTTTTAGTTGTTCCAAGTTGTTCTAGTTGTTCCTGACATTGTTCCAAAGTATTATTTGAAAATATTCAAATTTGAAGCTGCCAGACAAAAAAAACGTTTATAAGGTAGCCCCCCATGTTTGGAAATTCAATATTTTTTTAGTTGTTCCAAGTTGTTCTAGTTGTTCCGAACATTGTTCCAAAGTATTATTTGAAAATATTCAAATTTGAAGCTGCCAGACCAAAAAAAAACGTTTTTATGGTAGCCCCCCATGTTTTGAAATTCAATACTTTTTTAGTTGTTCCAAGTTGTTCTAGTTGTTCCTAACATTGTTCCAAAGTATTATTTGAAAAAACTCAAATTTGAAGCTGTCAGGCAAAAAAAACCGTTTTTGAGATAGCCCCCCATGTTTGGAAATTCGTTATTTTTAAAGTTGTTCCAAGTTGTTTTAGTTGTTCCTAACATTGTTCCAAAGTATTATTTGAAAAAACTCAAATTTGAAGCTGTCAGACAAAAAAAACCGTTTTTCAGATAGCCCGCCAAGTCAAATCGTACTAGAGACAATAAATAAATCAACAATAATTTTAAACAATGACGATTGTATCAGTACAACCGTGGGCTATATCGTTACAATTTCATTTAATCATTTTGAATAAAATTAATAGTTATAAGACAAGAAAACATTACACTATAGGGTAAACTCCCTAATTGTTGGCACTTTAAGAGTAGGTTCCATGTCAGTCAGACATTAAATTACCATAAAATCACATCTAAATGAGTTAGTACACAACACATGTAACAGTATCAAGGAAATATAGTTCAATCTTTGTTTTCATAATAGTACAGTCAATGAAGGCAAAAATCAGCTATAACCTCCGATTTCGATGAACCTCCATCGATTTTCATGAAAAATGGTGATGAGGTGGGGGATACCATATGAAACAAATGTAACATAGCGCCAACTTGCGCTTTTTCCCTAGGGGTAGATACCACCCCTTCTCGGGGGTAAAAATTATTTTAATAAAAATAACTCCAGGAATCGATAGAAAGACAAACTCTAAGCAAAAGTTGTTATATTAAGTTTTCGAAATAAATCAGTACTTTCTGAGTTAATAATGATCAAATATTGTGATTTTGCGTCAAAAAATTCATGTTTTAAGCGGTTTTTCATAAATATTTCAAAAGCTATGAGTTTAAAGAAAAATATATTATTACTAGACGCAACGAATATTCGGTTACTATTCGGTATTCGGCCTATTCGGCTGCTTTTATTATATTCGGCCGAATACTGAATACCTACATATTATTCGGCCGAATACCGAATACTTAAATAATATATTTTGTCATAGAGAAATAATTGGTAAAATGAAAATTAATATCGATTGATTACGTAGGTATATATTCATATTTTCATTTCTGTTATATATAATCATTAAAGTAGTAATTGGTACATAATCATCTTCTGAATTGGAAAAATGGAGGATTCTATGTATTTGAATTATTGTGGTAATCAAAATTTAAAAGGGTAAGGTTCTCATTTCTTTTATAATCATTTTTAAGTAGTCATTGGTACATAAAACAGGAACATATTTTAATCATTTTCTGTATTAAACAAGTTAAGAATTTTTCTATGCATTTGAATTATTTTCATAATCAAAATTTAGAAGGGGAAGGTTATGGTGCAGAAAGACTAAATTTTCTGCATTTTTAGGAAGTAGTAGAAATTCTTTTTTTCTCGTACACCATCCCAGCTTCAGAGTAAAGGCGCTCTGAATAAACACTACTTCCTGGCGCCCACAAATATTTTGCTGCAATCTTAATCAAACACGGAAATTTAATTTTCCTTGCTGCCACCATGTATATGGGTTGTCATGACGTGATATATTACTAATATTTAAGAAAAGATCCATTTCTGTTGAAACTGCGTTTGACTGAATTGCACTGCAAACAAAGGGGCGCGAAACAATCACGTTTGTACAAGTTTTTGGCGCTAAAATCCAGCCGAATACTTTTGCCACGGTAATATTATCTATACAGTATTGTGACTCCGCCCTGTCCTTGAAAATAAATGCCTACACCGAACGCTGCGTTGGCACGCGGTAGGGCCGCCAGCCTACAGTATTTTATGTAGTTTTGTTTTTAACGCGAGTGTAGGTAGATTACTCGTTTGTCTCTTTTTTCATCCTAACCACTTATTTATATATTATTCCAGATATTTTGCCCGATAGAAAAACCGAAATACCTAAATATTAGAAACAAATAACGTACTAGTAGATAGGTATATAAAAAATATTCTATAAAGGTAAGACACCTTTCCAATATTTCAGGTAATATAAAAAATGATATCTCTGGGTGTGTTATTGAAGAGTTCAAGCAACCAAAAACAGCAATTGTGCTGTTGTACGATATTGATCGTCGTTTGTTCTTTTCCATACTAAATTATGTAGGTATCTACTTAATTAAATCAAATATTTACAATACAAAACGCATGTTTAAGCACAGCTAACTGCATAAAAAACAATTCAGACCGTTCGGTCGTCGTTGCGGCGCGGCGGCGCATTCGCGACTGGGTGCCCGCCGAGAGCACATCGAACTCGAGTGGCGTAGGTATGACTCGCTTTCCGACCGTTTGTATGAAGATAGAATACTGTATGATATTATTACCGTGCTTTTGCCTAATATTCAGCTATTCGGTCAGGGGCCTCGCCGAATATTCGGTATACTGCCGAATATACTATTCGTTGCAAGTCTAATTATTACCAAAATTGAAGCTAATAAAAAAAACAAACACCTTCTTTGAAAAACCTTCTTATATGAATTCAAAGTGAGCTATAGGTAATTGTATGTATATATTTTTTCGACGAGTACTTAAATCTAAGTTTCCAACACTAAATAACGGGAAACCTATGCATTTTGATGAATGGTTGGAATTATTTTTCGTTTTTCCCAAAAAAAATAAGTGTTATCTTATTTTTATCATAACTTTTTCAATTTTGAAGCTATTAACTTTTTACAGTGCTCATTATAAAGGTATTTCTGAGGAATTTAAAAAGTGCTCCGGAAGTGTATGTCATAAATTCATCGGTTACCCGTTATTTAGGTTTGAATACTTAGATTAAGTACTTGCCGAAAAAAATATATGAACATACAATTACCTATAGCTCACTTTGAATTGAAATTAGAAGGTTTTTCAAAGTAGGCGTTTGTTTGTTTTTATATTAGCTTCAATTTTGGTACTAATTTTTTTTTGTAAAGCTCATAATTTTTGAGTTATTTATGAAAAACCACTTAAACATGTATTTTTATCACGCAAAATCACAATATTTAATCTTTGATAACTCAGAAAGTATTGATTTATTCCGAAAACTCAATATAACAAATTTTACTTAGAATTTGTCTTTCTATCGATTCCTGGAGTTATTTTTATTAAAATAATTTTCACCCCCGAGAAGGGGTGGTATCTACCCTCAGGGCAAAAACGCAAGTTGGCACTATGTCACTTTTGTTTCTTATAGTATCCCCCACCTACTTACCAATTTTCATGAAAATCGATGGCGGTTCAACGAAATCGGAGGTTGCAGCTGATTTTTGCCTTCATTGACTATACCATTATGAAAACAAAGATTAAACTACTTTCTTTGATACTGTTACATGTGTAACATGTGTTGTGTACTAACTCATTTAGATGTGATTTTATGGTAATTTAATGTCTGACATGCTACCTACTCTTAAAGTGCCAACAACTAGGGAGTTTACCCTATATTCTAATGTTTTCTTTTCTATTAATTTAATTCAAAATGATTCAATGAAATTGGAACGATATAGCCCACGGTTGTACTGTTGTTGTACAATCGTCATTGTTTAAATTGATTTTTGATATATTTATTGTCTCTGGTAGGTACGATTGATTTTATTTTATAAATAAAAGTTTTTTTTTGTCTTACAGCTTCAAATTTTATTTTTTTCAAATAATACTTTGGAACAATGTTAGGAACAACTTGGAACAACTTTAAAAAAAAAGAATTTCCAAACATGGGGGGCT